AATAACACATAATTATAGTTAACCCTTATTCCCTCAACATAAATACATGTAACTAATACAATTTTCTTATAGTCAATAGAAGTATTCAGCAAATAAAGATATATGTCAATGGTATGAGTTAATGAATTGTTGTATTAGTAATGAATTGTCTCTTGGCTATTATTATAGGCCGAAAATACCTTTCTTTTAAGTTTCAACCAACATAATATCATGTTTTAATCTAAATTAGGCGTTTATATGTAGTAGTCTACACTCTACAAATACAAATATTTAGTATATGAAAAATATTGAGTTTATTTTTTATGAGGTTAAAAGAGACGAACATTTGACTCTTGAGTCGTTGTGAAAAGTATTAATTATGTGTATATAATACATATTAGATATATGATAAATTAAATAACTAGTTAATTTGGTTTGATTAGTTAGGAGTGCCTGAAACCAACCAAACCACCTTAACCAAACATGCTAAATTTTTTTAACTAATCCAAACCAATTATCCAATTTAACCAAACCAAATTATCCAAATACTACCACTTAAAATGGTTACCACGGTAACCTCTCCATTTGAACAACCCTTATTTATAGCGAAAAATAAAAAAATTCGACTAAGAAAAATAGATTTAAAAAAACAAATAATTAATTTTCATCTTTTAAAACTAGCCCACTAAAATCTAAAGATCCAAATTTGTTTATAGAAGTGTGTACAACCAAGAGTAATCATGAGAACGTTGTATTTGTCCTTGCTAGTTATTACGATTTACAAACCTTTATTGTTTATAATGACAACTAGATCCGGGCCCACCCGTTGGGTGGCTATATATATTTTTAGTTTTATAATAAATTCGTCATTGGACGGATAAATTACTTAAATGGTATAAACAACAATAGTAATTGTTCATGAAAATAAAAATATATTGTAGATTTCCCCCCCTTAAATTCTAGCCAATTCTCTAGTGTAAGGAGGAAAGTAAATAACCAAACTCATGCCAGAGAACCATCTCACAATGAAATAAAAACATATAAAAAAACCAAACATTAATGAAAATATCTACAATCAATATCCGCTTCCTTCTTGTTAACAATGTGGTCATTTTCATTATTAGATCCACTACCTCCAATATTAGTAGACCGACTTTCTGCTTCTCCCACATCTCAATAAAATCGAAGCTTTAATGATATGGCAAATATGACACTTCAAGTTGAATATATTTCATCCAAGTCGTGATATTATTAATGATTTGTTGTTTATTCTATCTGAAATCACTAATTTCCAATATGGATAGTATCTTCCTCTTCTAAAAAACCGTTATTATTACTATGACTTATGTTTTAATGGGTATGGTGATTTTCCTAAAGTGAATTGTGAAATTAAGAAGAATGGACCTCTATAGATAGATTGTTACCTAGTTGACATCGTCTGATTTTGTTGTACGATTCCCACAAAAGTACTTGAGAGAGTTTTCTTCAACTTTTGGTCGATAGGTCGCATTAAGCATAGCACCACCAGTTCCTAACTTTGACAACTTAATTACATTGGAAGGAATACGAATTATCCTACTTATTAGAGAGAGATAACATTTTAATATTAATGAGTCGTTAGATTGAAACTGGAGTTTCATCATTTCAATTCGTTTACACTCTTAAAGGATGTGATGCACCTCCATCACTTTTATCACGAAAACAATACTTGTGAAACCAAAATTTGGTTTTCTAAAACTCCGAAATTTGTAGTTTCATTAAGAGACAAATCTGTAAGAAAATATGTTTCTTTATCATCGTGTTCAGAGAAAAATATCAATGTAACAACCAAAATGAGAAAATGATCACCAATATTTGTGAGAATTGCATATATTGTCCTGCCCACGGAGAACCTTCACAACAAACCTCATGTACCCAAATTGTATATCAGGCCCGAATTAAAATTTTCAACAAAGCATGAAAATATATAGATGCAAGTTTAAAATTTTCAACAAAGCATGTAAATATATAGATGCAAGTTTAAAGAATCATATAATCATAAAGCTTTAGTTGGATCTCTGTACAATTTGTTCTAATAAAATTACATGTTTCCCTCTTACTAACTTTGTCAATAGCTAATCAATTCTCTTCAATTTTAATGTAATGGCTAAAATGAGAAAACGGTCACCAATATTTGTGAGAATAATATATATTGTCCTGCCCTATAGGGGAACCTTCACAACTAACCCATGTATCCAATTGTATATTAGTAGTGATGACAATATCTTACATGAACCTCGCGACCCGACCTATCCCAACCTGTTTGTGGCGGATATCATCCGACCTCTAGTAGCTTGTTGCGAGGCATGGGTATTGCTTACGACCTGTCCCTTCCCGTCCCCTTTTTTACCCGTTCTATCTTGATTTGCATCAATATCTACATGTATTTATAATCTTCTGACCATTCTAAAATCATGTTTACATCCCAATGAAATTTTCTATACTATCTTTCAACTATTGAGACTCAATTATTCCTTCTACTACGTTTCTCATTCATTTATGAATTATTTTTCTATGTGTTCTTGTCAAAGAATTAAAACATTGACGTTCCTTTTTCAGATAACATATAAGAGTGGGTCGACCTGCCCTACCCCCACACCCGAGCGAGTATTATCCGACCTGACCAACGCTTAGTACGGAGTGGGTATGGGTATTAAGTTACCCATCCCGTCCCGCCTCATTGATATTACTATATAGTAGGCCCCAACTAAAATTTTAAACAATTCATGCAATTTTAAAATGCAAGTTTAAAGAATCATGTCTCGTTATGCTTTATTTTAATCTCTTTAGAATTTTTTCTTATAGAAAGAAATGTTTCGATCTTACTAATTTTGTCAATAGCTGATAAATTATCTTCAAGTTTAACTTACGTGAATCGATTTTTGTAAATTTAATTTGAAAAACAATAATTCTTTAATGTCGAAAGTCAAAATAATTGAAGTGATTATAAACCGATAAGAGTTATTATTTATGGTCATATCATTAGTAAACTTGTTTTGTAGTTCAAATAGAGATTGGTCAGAGTGAATTGTAATTGATTTTGTAATATTCTACTATTAAAAAGTCGTGGTCTTTTGCGTGCAACTTTGATATAGGTTTAAGAGACCTTGATAGAGTATATACTCATTTATCAATCAAAATACTTAACACTCGATCAATGATTTTTAATAATATACATAAGCGACCTATATTGTTAAATCAATACATTTTAATCAGTGATTATTGACTATTTGTTGAATCTATTAAAGGCCTATGTTGAAAATTTCAAGGATAAATCACACCCGATAATGACCGAATAATGAACAATTTGTTTACTCAACCACACAAAAATTTGAACAAATAACAATTTGATCTACGATTTTCAAACAGTCTAGTCTATTTTCCCGGCCCTACTTTCTGAAACCGAAAAACAGCAAAGCAGCTGCGTTTGTGATCTCTAAGGCCCATATGAATTACCCATATATTATTTAATGTCTTCTGTGATCTCTAAGGCCCAAATGAATTAAAATAAAATTGACATATGGAACCCTCGGTTGCAAATTAAAGCTTTTATGCTTATTATGGCCCATTACCTAAAATAATTAAAGTAAGAAATTGACCTAATGGCCCCTCCGTGCTATGCGTTTATAATGACAATTACTTGTTTGGTCCTAATTACGAATTAAATATTTTTTATTAATGAATTTACGAATTAAATTTTCCAATTTCCAAACGAGACAAAAAAGAATCCGTTTATTACCTGTACCTAAATCACGCAATTAATTAATTAAAAAAAATTCCCCCGCCCTCTCTCTCTCTCTTCTTTTTCCATTTTGCCTTCCTTCCCTGCCTGCATCGTTGTTTGTCCTAAGCTCAGCTCCCAGCAAACCCAGCTACAGCAACCCAGCAACCGCAGCCCCCAATATTCAAATCCCTAATTTCTCCCTAATTGTCTTCCAATTCGTGAATTCAAAGCAATCTGTCGGCTCAAGATAGGGTGCATAACCATGAGTTATGCACCCATCAATAACCAAATCTGGACCCTTCATTTAGAAAATCCAGATCTAAGGATGGAGAATTAAAGACTATTTTTATTTTCACTAGCTTTCTTAATTGACTCATATCTTTTTCGTTTTAACTCGGATTTTAATTTTTTTTGCACAGATGGAACGAGTTCACCGTGCTCTACAAAATGAGATCAATTTTCAATATTTTTTTAGGAAAAAAAATTCTGGCCTCTCGGTACCAACTGCATACCATATGGTATCTTCTTCGTTTTTAATTCGTTTTTGAAAACGTTTGCACAGCAGGGATGAGTTCATCATGATCTACTGGATCTACAAATTTCTTGGTGAACAAATTACAGGACCAAAAAATACCACACAATACTATACAATACCACCCTGGTACGGGGTGGTATTGTATGATATCTTCTTCGTTTTTAATTCGTTTTTGAAAACGTTTGCACAGAAGGGACGAGTTCATCATGATCTATTGGATCTACAAATTTCTGGGTGAACAAATTACAGGACCAAAAAATAGCACACAATACCATACAATACTACCCTGGTACGGGGTGGTATTGTGTGGTATACAATGTTAAAAGTCGTAAATTACAATTAATATACTTCTACTATCATGTATTCAACCATCCTACAGTATTGGTTTGTTCATACCACCATGGTACGTTTTTCAAAACATAGGTATGCTTTTATTTCAATACCAGTCAATACCATATGGTATAGGCTGGTAAAAAATGGCTCAATTTTTTTTGTTCGAAAAATATATTAAAGTGGATATCATTTTGAAGAGCACAATTAATCTAATCTAACTGTGCAAAAAAAATTAAATTTCGACTTAAAATGAGCGAGAAATCGTCCGTAAAAGATTAAAGAGGGAAAAATTAAAGACTTTCAATGAGAGAGAGGATGCTGATGTCATGCTGATGTGGACGGGTTACTCATGGTTACTCACCATAAGGTTACTCACCTGATCCATTCCCCAATCTGTCTCCTTCCTAACTACTTTTTTTCCTTCTTAATCTTCATCTTCATACCAACCGCTGCTTTTTTTTTCTTACTTCAATCGAACTCAACAAATACCCTTCTCCCTCTTCTTCCCCTTTCCATCTCTCTATCTCTGATAGCTCTGATTTCACTCTCTCTCTATCTCGGAATTTGGACTGAGTTAGGGGGAGAGAGGGACGGAGGAAGGGAATGATGAAGCTCTCGGCCCTTCAGCAGAGCTACCTAAACCGCCGGCCGGGGAGTTTCAGGGGAGCGGCTCCATTAGATTCGTCGGCTGACGGCGCTAACAAGTCGCCGGCGGCGGTGTTCTGGCTCGTTCTCCATGGACTCTGCTGCCTCATCAGTCTCGTCCTAGGGTTCCGCTTCTCGCGGCTGGTCTTCTTCTTCATCTTCTCCACTTCCATCACTACCAACACGAATCACTTCATGGCGCCTTTCCGCCAGCTGACCACCACCACCACTGCCGCCGACGTGGCGTCGGATTTGCCATCAAATCCGGTTGGAGACGCGGCGCTTAACGGGACCAGAGTTGTGGTCGGCCGTCACGGGATCCGGATCCGCCCGTGGCCGCACCCGGACCCGATCGAGGTCATGAAGGCGCACCAGATAATTGAGAGAGTGCAGAGGGAGCAGCGGAATCAGTTCGTTGTGAAGAACCCGAGGACCGTCATCGCCGTCACTCCGACCTACGTGCGGACCTTCCAGACTCTGCATTTGACCGGCGTCGTTCACTCGCTGATGCTCGTCCCTTACGACGTTGTGTGGATCGTCGTGGAGGCTGGCGGAGTCACTAACGAGACCGCTGCGATCATTTCGAAATCCGGTGTCAAAACCATCCACATTGGGGTGGATGAGAAAATGCCCAACACGTGGGAAGGACGCCATAAATTGGAGGCCAAAATGCGGCTTCGAGCTTTGAGGTAAGAATCTTTGTTCTTGGCTTGCTTCCCCTGTTATTGTAGAGCTCTGAAACTTCAAAGTAAAACGAGAGTCAATTCAAGTCAAGCATCGTTCTGATCGGAAAACTGAGTGACCGGTTCTTGTCTAATGGTGGAGCAGGGTTGTGAGGGAGAAAAGACTGGACGGGATTGTGATGTTTGCAGACGATAGTAATGTGCACAGTATGGAGCTGTTCGATGAGATTCAGAGTACGAAATGGTTTGGTGCGGTTTCGATTGGTATTCTTGCTCATTCAGGAGGTGCCGAGGAGTTATCATCATTTGCTGCGGTTGAGAAGGAAGTAGAAGAGAAAGAGAAGAAGCAGGCAATCCCTGTTCAAGGTCCTGCCTGTAATGCATCTAGCAAGCTGGCTGGATGGCATACCTTTGATCCACAACCGTATGAAGGGAACAGCGCAATTTTTATAGACGATAGAGCAACTGTGCTGCCTATGAAGCTGGAGTGGGCTGGGTTTGTGTTGAATTCGAGGTTGCTATGGAAGGATGTTGAAGATAAGCCTCACTGGTCCAGGGATTTAGATTCAGTGGTTGATGATGATATAGAGTCTCCTTTATCTCTGTTGAAGGATCCTTCTATGGTGGAACCACTTGGCAGCTGTGGCAAACAAGTTTTACTATGGTGGCTTCGAGTCGAAGCTCGTGCAGACAGCAAGTTCCCTGCTGGGTAAGTTTTGCTTTCCCTCATTTCCCCTCATTTGTGTACAGGTGATATGGTGATTTTGCCGTTTAAATTTTGCATGAAAGTTCTTGGTCCTTCAGGTCATTTAGTTAGGTTCTTTTAGGAGTGAATTCATGCAGTTGTTTGGGCAAGCAACTGTATGTTCCCAGATTTTTACTTCCCGTTTGAGTATTCCTAGAGCAATTTAAATAGTCTTCTGTTGAAAATAATGCAAAGACAGTCAAGAAACTCTTCAAAAAGTTTCAAGGCATTTACTCTTGCCGAATTGGTAGTTAATTCCACTTTCTAGACTTGTAGTCAATAGCAAAACACGTGAATTTCATGGTTAATCAACTGCTTCTCGTATCAGGGATCGATTAATTTGGCAACAGTAGTCTAGAAAGTTACTTGGCATATTAGATTGACTTGATTATTTGTATCCGGATTCAGCATCCGCGTGACACTTGTTGACAGTGGCAAACAAACATAGGAAGCGAACATGTCGATACTTGTAGGCATATCCTTGTTAAGTTGTTATCGAATGAGATGATAATAATTCACTTTCCTTGATTCCTTTCATGCACACATGCTCTTGCTAATTACTTGCCTGCCCTGGAGATTCCTAATTAGTAGCAGGTAGATTGCTGCAGTGGTGCATAGACTGTTTGTTGAGACATGTTTCCATGGCTTATCAAGACTAATTTATGCCTGAATAATCGGATTTTATTCCCCCGGGGCTCTGAAGTATAGATACTCTGGGGTGTTTATTGTGCTCTTGTAGAAATAGGCTCTGAAATTTGGTCATAGCCGTTTGTCAGTGGTCGTGCTTTGCTTAATTGACCAGTTACGGCGCTGCATGCCCTTACTCTTCGGCTCTTCGTAGACCAAGTCCTTTCTGGTTGAACATGCTTTATGCCAATTATGCGGTATTAATATTCATTACACTGGAAAACAACCCCTGTGAATGACTTGCGCATCTAGACCTCAAAACCGACTCGGTTATCATTGTTGGTATGATCGCACCCCTCGGTTATCATTGTTGGAAGAAGTCGTAACATGTGCTTGTTTTTTAGGTGAATTTGTAGTTTCTCAACAGGTTCTTTTATTTATTTCTTTTCCCTTTGAGTTCATCTATTCTTGGTGCGTGCTGTTTATACAGGTGGATAATCGACCCACCACTGGAAATCACCGTGCCATCAAAACGAACACCATGGCCAGACGCTCCGCTGGAATTCCCATCCGACAACAACGAAAAGACAGCAAACAACATGGAAGAGGCACACCCAGTTGTGAAGCACACTAAGACGCGATCATCAAGATCTAAGCACAGAAGTAAGAGGAAGCATGAACCCAAAACTGTGGTGGACACAAAGCAGCAGTCTGAACAAAACTAAATATAGAGAAAACAACCTTCCTGGGCAAGAAACAGGTGAGATAACCGTATACTTACTGCTTTGAACCTTCAAATTTCCAGCCTCTCTATACGCGATACATGATGAAGCAGGGTGGACTGGGGAAGGAGGGGAACACCCTCGTGATGATCATACTGGAAGAGAAGGTAAAATCCACCTTTTACAGCTTGGCAAGATTGAAATGTAACTTGGCCACTCCTTTTTACCTTACTTTTTTTTTTACCGTTGTATTCCATATTTGTTTTTCTTTTTCGAGCAAAGGGGGTGGTCATTTAGTACGTGTTGATTAATCTTTGTTGCCCATCCAAGTAGCGATATTGTTGTAGGAGAAGGATTGGGATGGGAGAGACAGAAAAGAGGGGGAAAGCGAGTTGTATTTGTATGGTATAATGGAGGGAGGTGAGGTTAGTCCCAAATTTTATACATGAAATGAAATTCATCAACATGCCTATTTCTTTTTTCATTTTTTTTTTCAAGGGCCAGGGTGTTATATACAATACTAGATGCAGCTGCCGCGCTTAGCAGCGGCCTAGATAAATTTTCAATTCGGAAGGCTCAATAGACATGCAACTAATAATAAACCAGAATTGAAATATGAAAGGATTTGAGTGGCTTGAAACATTTGTGCCTTTAAAGTTGGTTTGCACCACACCCAATATTCTTTTGAATGAAGCAAATTCCCCAACTCTAGTGATCATAATCACCATATAATTTGTGGAGACCCACTTGAGCAAAGATTCATGTATCACTTATTTTGTCAGACACAATTATATCTCTTTTTTTTTTTTACAAGAGGACACTGTATTTCTATTACTAGAGTTGTATTTCTATTGTCAGACACAATTGTATCACTTATTTCTATTACTTGTTGCAAAAGTCAAGTGTTACAAAAGTGGTGATACAACATCAAGAATCTGAACCCATTCAGTGGGTAAAGTATTTTTGGCACAAGATCTAGCTACCCAGTTTGCTTTCGCGTTGCTCTTACGACCAATGTGCGTGATCTTAATCAAAGGGTTGGACTCCAACGTTTGTATGATAATGTCGATCCAGGCTGCCGCTCGCCATGGCCACGATTTCGGATCATCATGAATTGCCTCTTAACAAGTGGCAGGCAGTCAGAGCGGACAAGGCAGGGGGAAAGGAGATCAGCAGCCAAACGTGAGCCTTCCAACAGGGCCTTGGCTTCAGCTTCAAGTGGGGAAAAACAGTGCAAGATCTCAGCCTTACCGTCACAAACTTGACCATGGCTGTTCGAAGCTACGACGCCATAAGCCGCCTCCTGGGAGTCGCTGAAAAACGACCCATCGCAGTGTATCTCAAAGTCATGAGTACTTGGCGGTGATGAAGAATGATTCGGTGGTGGGATAAGCTGAGCTGGAGATGTGGCAGCGAGGGGTTTCTTGGGGCAGGAGGTCCATTGGTGATGTGCCAAGGACGCCTTTGAGATCGTAGATGGAGGCCAAGGAGTGGTGTTCTTGAAGACCCGTTCATTCCTTGACTTCCAGATCTGCCAAAGGAGAAAGACAATCTTCTGGATAGAACTGCTCGAGTACCTGGCGACCAAAGAATTCAACCATTCCAGGAAAGGTGTGCTGGGAGCAGGGGTAGGAAGAGAGGGCCATTCCTGTTTCCATCCTTCTGCTGCATGTGGGCAGGTGAAGAGGCAGTGGCGAATCGATTCAGAGGGGTGTTCACATAAAGGACATGTCATGGTTGGAGAGCACTTCCTTGCATGAAGGTTCTCTTTCGAGGCTAGCGCTCCTTTGGAAATCCTCCAAACAAAGAACTTGAGCTTCGGGGGGATGGATAGGTTCCACAACCATTTCCATCTATCCTTACTAGCTTCCGAAACAATATCCACATGCCCTTGTGACGCTCTGAGTCGGTGGTGGAAGTGAAGGAAAGCGGACTTCACCGTGAAGGCACCTTGTTCAGTGAACCTCCAGGCCCAGAAATCTTCCAGGGAGTCCGGGCCAACTGGAGTGGCAGCCACTTGTCTCAAATCATGTGGGCTAAGAAAGTCTTCAAGGAGATCAAACTTCCACTCTCCGGTGATACCATCAATCCAGCCATCCGTAGTAGAAAGGTCAGGCCAATCAAAGTCAAGGAGGGTCCCCGCGCGATCTCTTCTCCATGGGTCCTGAAACAGTTTGGTTGATTTATCATTACCAATAACCTTGATGATACCAAGTTCCATCCATTCTTTGCCTCGCATAAGCTAGACCATATCCAAGATGCCTTTCCTCCCTTCTTGGCTCTTAGAAAATCAGAATTAGGGAAGTAGATGCTTTTGAGAACCTTGACCCACAGAGCATCTTTGTTGGTGAGGACTCTCCAAGCCTGCTTGGCAAGCAGGGCCAAGTTGAAAATATGAAAGGGACGGAAACCAAGACCCCCCTCATTTTTTGGAGCATAAAGGACATGACCTGCCCTCCAATGGATCGTTCGCTTGATCATCGATCCACCCCAGAAGAAGTTTTTCAGCATGGTGTCCATCTTCTTCGTTGTTGACTTTGGCATGAGGAATAAGCCCATAATGTAAGAGGGGACAACTTGGAATACAACTTTAAGGAGGACTTCTTTCCCCTGGTGACAGGAGGAGGCTTTTCCATGCTTCACCTCTTTTTTCCATCCGTTGTATGAGAAAGTTGAAAGTCTCCTTCTTTGATCTTCCCCATTCAGTGGGAACTCCAAGATAGTTGGAGTGGCAATTTGTTGAAGCAAAACCGGAATCATGTATGATCCTGTCCTGTTCAATACTGGGGACGTTGAAGCTGAAGAACATTGAGGATTTCTCCTTGTTAACCTATTGGCCAGTAACAGCCCCATACTCATTGATAATTTCCAAAATCTTCCCAGCTTCTTCAGATGAGGCTTCCCCAAAGACGACTGTGTCATCTGTGAACAAGCAGTGGGGCAGAGTAGGGCCAGACACAATTATATCTCTTGACGGAGGTATTTCACTCATATTTTGTTCAATAACCCCTCACAATATCACTCGATATATCTCTTTTAAAATTGAACATAACTGAGAGTCAGGAAGAAAGGACTAGAAAAACCCCTCAGAGACACTCGAGAATAATACCATTCTGATAGGACACATTCATACTAGTGAGTGAGTTCTGAATCGGCCAGGAAAAGAAGGAGCTATTTGGCTTGATTAGAGGAGTGTGCGAAAGGCTTGCAGATCTCCCTCCTTTTTTAAGGGAAGATAGAATTTTTCTCTTAGTACCTCAATACCCAATACAAAAGAGGCGAGACCAAAACCCTTATCTTAGATTATTTTCAGAAATTTCTCGATCTCGTGCATTAATCATATAGATCGCTACTATAAAGTAGAATGTCGTTGAGATGTAAAACCAAGAAACAAAATTTACTCCCACTGAACTTAATATATACGCCATCATCTCCAACATTAGCCTATGAATTCGAGTGAGCTAACAACAAGATGATTTGTGATATTAATAAGGAGAAGGCTATATGAGATCATAGATGGGTTCATTCAATTTAGTACCATAAAATTGTTTCGTCAATGTGACAATAGAGACACACAATCTATATCCATCTAATATGGCTCCATACCATAATTAGCCACCATTCTCATTATATTCCTAAAAGAGTATTGCAAATATTTTGGAAAGAAAGTCTCTTTGTAGTAAATGCTTTCCTTATGGCTTATGAATAAAGCAAATAGTGGCCAACGTTCCTTATTTTTCTAACACCACGGTCAACGGGCCATAGTAGTCTATTTATGTAAAATTGGGGCCAATTTAAGGTATTAACCCTATTTGTGTAAAGTTCGGGCTAAGAAAAATACTTTAACGTAAACTAAGGTCAACCTACCTCAATCACTAATTTTACTTATGCTTAATTTTCTTCATTTTTCAACCTCCTTGTCAACTTTATGTGGTCCACTATGGGGATCCACCCTGATAAATAACTTGAATTTAATAAAAAAATTAATTTCTTTTGTTAGATAGTTTGAATTTTCAGTTAGAAATTTTTGGTGAATATATGATATGGATTTGAATATGTTTATGGTTAGTGATAATTTTACTACTAAATTAGTGTATTATATATTTTTTATTTTATTTTAGGGTTAACACTAATTATTAGCCAAATTTTTTCCGCAATCTTATTTATTAGCCAAACCTATTGAATTACTAATAATTAGCCAACTCTTTTGTAATATACCAAAATATCAACCATTTTTCTGTTATCGTTAATAATTTTGTAACTCTTTTCTCAATTAAAATGCTAAATTTTTGAAATGTTGACCTTCATGTTTCTCTTTCAAATCAGTATCATGTTGCCCAACCAATATTACTACAAAAACTGCTAACTCGAAGTTAACATTTGGCTAATTATTAATAATTCAATAGGTTTGACTAATAAAAAAGAATGCGAGAAATGTTTGACTAATAATTAGTGTTTATCCTTTGTTTTATATCGCACGAACATATCTATCAACTACCGACCCATCCACGATTCTATAACAAATAATAATTGAACCATCATCTTAGAGTATCCATATTGATATTGCATTCTCAATTGCAAAAAGACATGACATAGATGTTTTACTTAATTTTTTATAATTTAAATATAACATTTATGGAGGTGAATGAAATGAATGTGATGTGTAGTGCACAAAATTTGAGTTGACAATAAAAAACACAAATAAATTATTTTGCAATTGCATTGATGGATATGTTATTAGTTATTAGTTATTACCACCTTAATTTTTTACCATCTCAATTTCTTTTTGTAATATTCTCGGCTGAATTCGTAGTAGACCCGATCTGCTCCAAAGCCCAATCATAGCACCGCTCGGGGTTCTCTCTCCATCTTTTCCCTCTCTTTCTTCCTTCCTTCCTCGTTCCTCCCTGGTTGCCCAAATTCTAGGGTTCAGGCGCATCAGTTTCGAAGAGGTTTCTCCGCACAAATCAACCGGCGAGGCTTCGTTACTCGCCAACAGAATCCGGCTATATTTTACACTCCATCCATTTACCCTAACCGTTCTATCCAGAACTCCAGTCTGATCTTCCTGCGTCCGGCGTCGAATCCATCATCGTCACTGGCCGCCAATCACCACCAGTCTCCGCTATATCCACCGAGACCCTACCAGCTCCGACCGCCAATTATCCACTCCGACCAGTATCAGAGCACGGTCATTGCTGTAGAATAAAAGGGAAGAGGATTAGGACTATCTTGAGATGGTTTGTTGACTCTGCTCGCTTTCTCATCACCTTACCTCTCAACCTTAGGTTAGTATATCTAGACGTTCCGGGCTTATAGATTAGGGTTTAAAGTTGGCTGTTAACCGGAGAGAGAAGAGAAGAGAAGAGCGGAGCAATGAATCCCTTGACGCTTGTGAAACGTATCCAGAGCATCAACTCTAAGGAAGCCGCTTTAGGGATTTCAGAGGAAGCTTCGTGGCACGCAAAGTACAGAGATTCAGC